ACCAAAAGACAACCCAGGGTTTGCTGAGTCATCTCAAAATGCCCAAGTCCTTAAGCCCTGAAGAATGTCACATGTTATCAACCAGAAACAGCCAGTGCAGTTCAGCAAGTGCTCCATTGGGTGGCTTCCACACACCATCCACATGGATACTCCATGGAGTGCGCTCCAATCCAACCCCTGCTGTGACTAGATTTTCATCCATATCTCTTCCACTAACTGTGGATATCCCCCAAAGCTCTGTCCTGGGTCCTCTTATCTTTTTTTTCTATATTTTCTCATTTGGTGAACTCAGTACTCAGAAGTTCAATGATCATCTCTAAGTAGATGATTCCCAGATCCATGTATACAACCCTAATTTCTCTACTGAGCTCCAGTCTTCTACAACTACCTATTGGACATTTCAAACTTGTACTGAAGAAATCTCAAATTCAGCATGTCCAAAATAATTCATTACCTTTCCCCAAGATCCTTACCTTCTTTCAAACTTTCCTATTATTTTTGAGGGTAACTCCTTCCAATCATCCATGTTCATAAACTGAGTCTTATCCTTTACTCCTCACTTCCTCCTCACTCCACATATGGAAACAGTGAACAAATATTGTCATTTCTTTCTCCATAATATCGCTCAGACACATCACCTTCTTTCCTCTCACACATCCACCACCCTAGTTCAAGCCCTCATCGTCTCTCACTCATGCTTAAAGAGAAAGGTTGGCTAGGTCAGTCATTAACATAATAGTGTGATAATAGATTGAATATTAAAAGCAGCAGACCCTATGCCCACATTCACTACTGTAGGCAATTATAATTAAAATATATATCATATATTATAATTGTGATTGGTCACTTAGTTTTTATTAATTGACAATTTACTTGATAAATATTGTTGTAGAAAGCCTGGTGATGAGTTAGAAAATCCCTTCTCTTTACATCTGTTATCACAACTGACTTCATTTCCTCGAAGGAAATTTGTGAGATTTTAAAAGCTCACAAAAGAAGTAATTGGTGGGGCAGCTAGATGGGGCAGTGGATAGAGAATACTGGTAATGGAGTCAGGAGGACCTGAGTTCAAATGCTGCCTCAGACACTTGACACTTACTAGCTGTGTGACCCTGTGTCACTTAACCCCAACTGCCTCTCAAAAAAAGTAATCACTGACCTGTTTCATCCATGACGGAAACAGAAGCTCCTCTGCCAAGGCAAAAGCACATTTTAGAATTTGGCATAAAACAGACATGTTTGGTCTACAATCAAGCAAACTAGTTAATAAATTAATTTTTTATTTTTAAGGACCAATCACTGCTTTAGTTCTCTAGTAAAGTAAAAACTTATATGGCACTTTACAAAATGGAAGTTTCTAAGAACTAGAATTTCTGATACTCTCTAATACAGATTTCCAGGCTAACTCCAGAAGCAGGAGTAGCTGAATTTAGTGCTATGGCTTGCGATGGGATCAGTTGGAAAGCTGTTGTCTGTATATTAATTAGGCAGCTGGATGGCTCAGTGGATAGAGAGCTGGGCATAGAGTCAGGATAGAACTAAGTTCAAATCTGGCCTCAGACACTTGCTAGCGGGGTGCCCCTAGGCAAGTCATTTAATCTCTGTTTGACTTATTCCACTGGAGAAGGAAATGACAAACCATTCCAGTTTATTTGCCAAGAAAAGTCATGGACAGTATCGGCATGCTATGGTCCATGGGTCACTGCATTCATTTAATGGTCTGGGGACAAAGTCTAGAAAAAGTAGGGTTCCAGATTAAAGGGAGAGCAGCAAGGTAACATGAATTCTTAGCTAGATAGAAGGAATTAAGAAAAAATACTAATATCAAAACTATTCTAAGCCTCCAAAATGTGGGACAAGGTTTTACTGGATGTCACTTAGGAGTAGAGTACAGGTATTTAGGTCAGATTTGCCTCTTAGGGAAAATACATCTATTTTCTGGGTGACATTTTCTTTTTTTTTTTTAATTTTTTTATTTTTTCCATATGCTTTTGAGTTGAAAATTTTTCTCCCTTTTCCTCCCCCCCCCGACCCTCCCCAAGATGGCACACAATCTGATATAGGCTTTACATTTACATACCCATTAAACATATTTTCACATTAGTGAAGTTGTAAGTAAAAATTAAAACCAATACCAGGAACCATCAGAAAGATGAAACAAAACTCAACAGAAGGTAAAAATAAGTGATAGGATTCGACTTCCATAGTTCTTTCTTTGATGTGACAGCATTCCATCCCGAGGCCTCTGGAATGTCTTAGATCCTCATAATGCTGAGAAAGGTTCAGTTTAACAGTCTTAGTCATTGCATAATGTGGCTGTTATTGTGTACAAAGTCCTCTTGGTTCTGCTCACTTCACTCAGCATCAGACCATATAAGTCTTTCCAGGTTTTTCTGAAGTCAGCCTGTTCATCATTTCTTATAGCACAATAGTATTCCATTACATTCATATACCACAACTTGCTCAGCCATTCCCCAATTGATGGGCATCCTCTCAATTTCCAATTCTTTGCCACCACAGAAAGAGCTGCTATGAATATTTTTGTACATATGGGTCCTTTTCCCATTTGTTTGATCTCTTTGGGATATAGCCCTAGAAGTGCTATTGCTGGATCAAAGGGTATGCACATTTTTGTAGCCCTTTGGGCATAGTTCCAAATTGTTCTCCAAAATGGTTGGATCATTTCACAACTCCACCAACAATGTATTAGTTCCAGTTTTCCCACATCCTCTCCAACATTTATCATTTTCCTGTTTTGTCATGTTGGCCAATCTGATAGGTGTGATGTGGTACCTCAGAGTTGTTTTGATTTGCATTTCTCTAATCAATAACGATTTAGAGCATTTTTTCATATGACTATAGATGGCTTTAATTTCTTCATCTGAGAACTGTCTGTTCATATCCTTTGACCATTTATCAATTGGGGAATGGCTTGTGTTCTTATAAATTTGTCTTAATTCTCTATATATTTTAGAAATGAGGCCTTTATCAGAAAGACTGGTTGTAAAAATTCTTTCCCAATTTTCTACCTTCCTTCTAATCTTAGTTGCATTGGCTTTGTTTGTGCAAAAACTTTTCAATTTAATGTAATCAAAATTATCCATTTTGCTTTTCATAATGTTCTCTATCTCCTGTTTGGTCATGAATTCTTCTGTTCTCCATAGATCTGATAGGTAAACTATTCCTTGTTCTCCCAGTTTACTTATGGTATCAGCCTTTATATCTAAGTCCTGAACCCATTTTGACTTTATTTTGGTATATGGTGTGAGATTTGGGTCTATGCCTAGTTTCTGCCATACTCTTTTCCAGTTTTCCCAGCAGTTTTTTCAAAGAGTGGGTTCTTATCCCAGAAGCTGGGGTCTTTGGGTTTATCAAATAATAGATTACTATAGTCATTGACTACTGTGTCTTGCATATTTAACCTATTCCACTGATCCACCTCCCTATTTCTTAGCCAGTACCAAGCAGTTTTCATGATTGCTGCTTTATAATACAATTTAAGATCTGGAATTGCTAGGCCACCTTCCCCTGCATTTCTTTTCATTAGTTCCTTTGATATTCTGGACCTTTTGTTTTTCCAAATGAATCTTCTTGTTATTTTTTCTAACTCTATAAAATAATTTTTTGGTAGTTTGATTGGTGTGGCACTGAATAAATAAATTAGCTTAGGTAGGATTGTCATTTTTATTATATTAGCTCGGCCTACCCATGAGCAACTGATGTTGTGACATTTTCAATTTCAAAATTCTTAACTGCAAAACCAAACTTCCTTTAGTTAAGATTTATTTTTTCAGGTCCTAAAAGCACTACAAAACCCTTGGAAATTCTGGCATAGTGTAAAAGCGTACTGGTTGGAAAGCCAGAGGGCTTGGGTTTAAATTGTCTTTGGATAAGTAAGTCACTGATTTATCCTCTCTGGCCTCAATTTTTGCATCTATGTACGAGGGTTGGATCCCACTAATTCGAGATCTCTTTGGGTTCTAGACCTCAGACTCTATTTTCCTGTCTAGAGGGAGCCAGGACACCTGAGGTCTAGGCCTGCCTGGCTCTGACTGCCACAGAGTGGTTCTGTGACCATGGCCAAGTCCTTTCACCTTTCTTGGCCTCAATTGCCTCCCATTCTGTAAAAGGAAGAGGTAGGAATAAATCTCTAGGGGTTCCTTCTAGCTTCCCAAATCCAAGGGTCTATGGTTTTAACATTTGCCTAATTTTGTTGTATTTAATTCATGCCCACAAGAGGGCTGGCTAATTTTAGAAACAGGGACTCAAATTACAGAGAGTAGAGGTGTCTGCATGGACTTAGTTTCCGTCCCTAGAGTAGGGTTTCCACAGCTCCCTTACAAAAGCTATTGAACAGCTCAGCAGCAGTCCTGAGCTCTGTATTTACAAAGTACTTACTTAGTAATTCGTTCTGGATGGAGTGGTGTGCTGCAGGAGTTAAGGGATCCTCTCATTTTACATATGGCGAGAGAAAATTCCGTTAGCATTAAAAGGAAAACTTAAAACATCCGTAGAATTAAAGGGTGGGAGAACGGAAAGGATGCGCCTGTCACACCTCAAGAAGATGTCTCAATTCTGCAGAACAAGCCCTGGGTCCCGAGGCGATCTCTTTTGCTTACTTCGAGGTTTTGTTTTGTTTTGTTTTTTTCCTATGCTAAGTTTCTTGTGTGGTTCAGTTTCATGATCAACTTTCATTTTCCATACTTTTCCCAGAAAGGAACTAGATGTGTGTGTGTGTGTGTGTGTGTGTGTGTGCGTGTGTGTGTGTGTGTGTCGGGACGTTTAGGTGTGTTATGTGTTATGGGTGTGAGATCTGTGCCCCGAGAACATCTGGGACCCTACTTGGGAGGACCGTCAAGTTCTCCTCCTTCCTTGGCCCTTTGACCCCGCTCCATCCGCCCGGGCTCTGTTTAGCTGCCGCTCCTGCGATAAGAAGTTAAGGTGGAGTAACCGGGAAGCGGACTTTGGTTTCCAAGAATTTTCCATCCCATCTGCCTTACCTTCTGCAGATACAGTGGGCAAACTGGAAACTCCGGGGGCTAGAAAGAAAGCCCCGGCCGCGAGGAGCAGCAGCAGCGCACAACGCATCTTGACAGATACTGGGGCCCCGGAAACTGGGCACTATCCTAGCCTGTGCCCTGGCAATGGCGACGAAGCGGCAGCGGCTGCTTGTGCTGCTCGGGCTGCTTGGGCAGCTGCTTTAAATGTCTGGGGCAACAAGCTGCTGGGAGGAGGGGCAACTGACTGGTGCCGAGCCTCTGAGGATTTCACAACTCCACGTTTAGTGGTCCTGAAGGCCAGCCTCTCTTGCAGTGATTCTGGTAAATGAAACAGCACCAGATGAAAGCTGTCCTGGCAGGTTCGGGTCCTGACTGGGAGGAAGCATTTACCCTCAGGCTACTTTCTCTTAGCCCCCAAGTTGGGAATGCAATGAATGGCTCTGTAGGATGAATGAATGCAAGAATGATTATTAGCCTTTACTATGTGCAAAGCACTGTGTCCTTGGATTTGGGTTGATGGGAAAAGCAAGGCCAAGTTCTGAAATTGAGGAACAGAAGGCACGTAATTAGCGTCAGGCTGTGCACTATACACCGCACAGGCTGTCCCAAAAGCCATATTGAAATTTTAACTAAAAGCTTAAAAGTTAAATAGCTAAAAACTGCATGCACTGAGATTTTTGGGACACAAGGAGCTACTAAAGCTTTAATCTTTTGGGCCCAGAGGTACTAAAGCTTTAAGGTACTAATCGCTTAAAAGGCACTAAGACTTTGGGGACACAAAAACTCTAGTGACTTAGAACTACACTAAGGCTTTTGGGACACAAAAACAGGAACTTGTACTCCTTGGTCAGTGTCAGAGGTTCTTGAATTTTTTTGGATTCTGGACTCACTGACCAGAAAATCTCCCCCAGAAAGCTGAGGTACAGATACTTCTACTCCTTGGTCATTATCATAGATTCTTGAACTTTTTTGCATCCTGGACCCCTTTGTCAGTCAGGTGAGGTCTATAGACCCCTTCTCTGAATAGTGTTTTTAAATACATAAAATAAAATAGATAGGATTATAAAGGAAACCAATTATATTAAAATAATTTTCTTCAAAATATTTTTTAAAAGGAAGTTTGATTACCCCAGGTTAAGAACTCATGCTCTAGATCTATGATTATATGGTGAGAGAAATTATTATTTTACTCTTATATTAGTAACCAACTATTAAATTGAAATCTAGCTTTTCTCTTTAATTTGCTCATTGAGGCCCAACTCTTGTTTCTGAAGGGCATGACTGACTGAGATTACCCCTACCCTTAGGGAACACACTCTTCAATTTTGGGCAGGTCCCCATTCATCTGGGAGACCTAACTTCTGTTTAGGGTATAAACAGAATCCAGTCTAGATGATTTCTTACCATGGAGCAGGGAGCCCCTGTCCTTGTACCCCTCCATAGGAGTTTAGGGTGACCCAGGTCACGAAGGAGAAAACCAACCAGAGTAGGCTGGAGGGAGATGGATTTCCCTGTCCAGATTGCTAAACGTGGCTGACTCTCATGATCAAGGCACTTTCTCATTAAGAAATTAAATGTCCACTAAACAGGGTCAGTTTTCATTGTCAGGAGCACTCCTTTTCTAAAAGTATGTAAGGCCTTTAGGCTCTCCATGGGTCATCTTTGGTTACCTAGAGAAACCACTGACCATCAATTTATTGATTGCTGGCTAGCCAAATTAATCAATTGATTATTAATTACCCAGAAACTCTATCTCTTAAGGTTTTTCATTTGTTTTAATGGCCTACTACTGAAAATCTGAACTCTACCTAGGGAAATGAGACATTTCCAATTGGAAAAGTGTCCCAGTTTCAAATAATTATTTACACAAAAGGCTCAAGAATGAAACCAAGGAATGAATCAGGAATGAATCCAAGTGTTAAATCCTAATTGGAGCTGGAAAGGTACTGTTTATTTTCCTAACATTGTGCACAATGAGAAGAGCACTGAATTTTTCATTTGAGGTCCTCATTTTTCTATTTATTAGCTTGGGTGAGTTTGGGCAAGTCAGTCCAACTCTGTGGGATCTGTTTTCTCATCTGTAAAGTAAGGGAGGCTAGACTAGGTGATCTCTAAGGTGTCTTCCAGCTCTAAATACTAAAGTTCTCCTTGGACAATCCTATACTACTTATTCCTTGGAATTAAGGAGGAAGGCTATGGTGTTTTCAGCAGGGAAGCTGCCATTTTGGGGACTGTGTTGATGCCTAGCTAGAGGAGGAAGTATTGACTCCTGAGCAAATTAGGTGGGTGAACTGGAGGGGACACTGCCCACAAAACTGTTCACTTGCTTGAGCTGACCCAGTTCCTTGTCAAACAGATCAGTACCAACCATGTAATTATGACCCCAACCTATAATTAAGGTCAATTCAGGGCTTAGGTGTAGACACTTCCTTTGACAAGCATCTTGTTGCACCATGGTAGAAAGGAAGCTTATCACCAGAGTTGGAAAGTGAAGCAATAACGTTGTCTTTAGAAGTTTAATGTGGCAAATCTCTACATCCCTGTACAGTAAGGAGCTCTGTAGGTGCTCTGAGCATGAAGACAAGTTAGGCTTGTTTTCTGTGATTTGTGGCATCTCTCTCTCTCTCTCTCTCTGTATCTCTCTCTCTCTCTGTATATATATGTATACATATATATGAACACATAGTTATCCACATACATGTATACATAGTACATGTTTATGCATATACGTCTTTACATGTATATGTGTATTTACACATATGTGTGTGTATGTGTGTGTGTATGTGTGTGTGTGTGTGTGTGTATATATATATATGCCATTGGTTCAAATCTCGCCTCTGGCCAGAAATGGCTAAGTGATTCTGAACCAGTCATTCCCACTCTCAACTCTCTAAGCTGGAGTATGGTTGGAAATCCTACTTGGGACACATCTTCAGTGAAAAATTTCTGAAATAAAATGAGAACATCAGGGCATGAGATGTAAACATTGATTTTTATTCTCTCACCTGGAAATGTTTGCAGTTATTGTTCATCAGGACTGTTGGTGAACACTGGACAATGCTGTTCTTTTGAGGTGACATACAATTTTAAGCACTTGACAAAAGACAGTTTAGCAGGCCATGGTGATATTTTGCTTTCTGAACAGATGTTGCTTTAGAGCAAAGTAAACATTGTAAGGAAATCTATGGATATGGAAATAGTCAACTAGAAAAATCTTATCCTAAATTCTCTAGCCAGTATATAATAATTGGTCTCATGAGTTTGGAAAAGCCCATGATTTTAACATTACCTGTATATTATAGTGTTTTTAAGAATTAATACATTTCAAATGTACCATCAACTTTTAATTTGTGGTTCATTATTGAGATGATATAGTCTATAGGTCTCTCACTTGGAATGAGAGAATTATAACATAATAGGCTTGTGTCACAGTGTTTAAAAACCAGGGTTCAGGGATGTTGGTGCCCTTGTTGCAAGGATATATTTAAACAGATAATATCTGGGACCTAGAAAAACACATTCCACATCTCTGAGGGAGACTGATTGCCACACTAGAGCGCAGTAGGAGGACTGCCATAACACTGAGTGATCACTCTTTTGTATCTCTATTTTGGGGGGTCAAAATAAAATCTAGTTTCCATAGTCACTCGTTATGGAAACGTATACCACCCCAGATTAGGAGGGTAATAGTAAGTTTACTCTTTGCCAGCTTAGCTCCTTCTCCCCAAAAGCTTGTTACACAAAAGATAATCATGGATAGGTAGCAAATGTAAATAGAAAGTAAGCAATAAAATAGAAATCTTGAAAATTATACAGATTAGGGTAGACTGTAATACCTAGCATATGTGTATACAAAAAAAGAAATCACAAGTCCATGAGACATTATTGCAACTGGATATATTACAAGAGAAATGAACATGCATGTGAAACTAAGTATAAAGGAGCTCACAATCCAGAGAGAAAATGCATATTCATGAGTTACAACAAGAGAGGGAGGAGTGGAAGGCAATCCCCCACCCCACCCCCAGAAACAGGAATGGCATGGGAGAAGGAAGGGAGAAGCAAGGGTGGGGAAAGGGTAGGAGTAAGGCAAAAGAAAAGGAGGGGGAACGTGAGTAAGTAGGATGACAAAAGCAGCACTTTTTTCCCTTGGAAACTAGCAAGATAGGATAGTCTGCTTATCTACAAGGCTCCCAGCAACACAAACAGTTTTCAGTCTGGTGCAGGCTGACTGATGCCTGTCTAGTAGCTGGTTCAGCTCCCAAGAACACACAGGGAGTCCAGCTAGAGGGTGCACACAACAAATAATGTCAGCTCAGGTGGGATTCCATCCTTGACCCATTCAGGGCCTCCTGCATACCCCAGGTCCAATGTGTCTGGAAAATATGGCAACTCAAGAAGATGTGTTAAGTTGGCATCAGGACAATAATACACACACACATATACATATACATAAACTCACATATACACATACTTACGTATACATATATAGATACATACATGTATGCATGTGTGTACATGATTTCAGTCAGTCAGTAGCCATTTAAGTGCCAGATTACTATGTGCCAAATACTGCTAAGCAGTGGGGATGCAAAATGAGGTAAAAGACAGTCCCTGTCCTCAAGGAGCTCACAATCTAATAGAGGAGACATCAAGTAAACAAATGTGTACAAACAAGCTACATCCAGTATAAACAGGAAATAAGGAACAGAAGAGAGGCCCTAGAATTAAGAGGGGTTGGGAAAGGCTTCCTGTAGAAGGCAGAATTTTAGTTAGTTTGAAGGAAGCAAGGGAAACCACCAAGTGGAGGGCAAGAGGGACAGAATTCCAGGCATGGGAGGACAGTTCAAGCAAAGGCTTACATTTAGGGAAAGAGCGTCTTGTTTGTGAAACAGCAAGGAGGCCAATGTCACTTGATCAGAAGGTACATGGCAGGGAGTACTCACAGGACTAGTGACACTGAAAGATCAATCAATGCCCTTAGAGCAGTCTCACCACCAACTGGAACTGGTAGCAGCTCAGTCTAGTCCCATAAAGAAAGGGTGTAGTAACCAAATGATCTCCAAGGAAGCAGCCCAGCCAAGCAGCCAGAAGCAGCTTTGGTGGAGGCTCAATGAAAGGAGAAAAGGACTCCTGAGACCAAGAGTCTCAACATACCTGTTGGCCCCAAGTCTTCCCTCTATGTGTGTCTCACTACCTTTATAGGTTAAGTTTGAGTTCACACTTCTCAG